CTGTCCCGAGCCAATGGGGGCGGCGGGAAGCTGCGGCCTGCACATCGCTCGCCCACGCCACTTCCCGCTGCCCCCATTGGCTTGGGACGGCGAACCGCGGCCAGTGGGGACCGCGATCGGCTGAACCTGCTGCGTCAGCAGGTAAATAAACTGGCCCGGCCTGCCAGAGTGCTTACCCTGGCGAGCCGCGTGCCAGATGTTGCCGAACCCTGCTTCAGAAGAAGGTGCAAGAAACCCTACAGTAGGCAGATGAGGGATCATTTGCTCCCTAACAATTCTCCTCTTAGCCCTTAATAGTCAGAGATTGGTTTAAATCCCAAGGCATGAGATTTTATATTCCTTCCAAAACTTTTTTTTTTTAGCATATAACTCTGGATATTCTTGTTATAAGTGCCCAATTTCTTTTTGAATCATGCTAATTTCTTGGCTTCAAGGGCATCCTGTGACAATAGTTCTGCAGTCTAATTTATGGCTTGTGTGAAAAAGTATTTCCTTTTATCAGCTTTGAATTTGCTGACTTTCAATTTCATTAGTTGTTCCCTTGTTCTTGTTTTATGAGACGGGGCGATAGACATTCTGACTCCAATTTCTCTACGCATCCGAAGAAGTGGGCTGTAGCCCACGAAAGCTTATGCTCTAATAAATTTGTCTCTAAAGTGCCACAAGTACTCCTGTTCTCTATACCACTTGTTATTTTGTATATTTTTCATTCCTCTTTCCCTTTCTGCTGGTGCTTGCAAACTGCTCATCGTTGGGATTATGACATCCTTTCAGGTGAGATTATGATGTAGAGGTAAATGAGTCAGCCACCAGCCTCTTGGTTTTTTCTCCCATTGCTTTCTCTGCTGCTGCTCTTTGAACATTGACTTGTGGGATTGTGACATCCACCCCAGTAGGTTTGTGACATTGGATGCAAGTGAGCTAATCATCTCCTCTTCCTATTATTCCTCATTTTCCTTTATTCAGTAACATTCTGCAATCCTAGGATTTTAAATGCATATATACATATGATTCAAATGACACTTAAGCTTGTCCATATTGGTCAGAAACTATAGAAGTAATACATGTCATGTAAAATGGTGATATCATTTGTAAAACTCTGCTATTATTGAATTATTATGTAATACAGTAGTGGTCAGAGGCCTCAGCTGAGATCTGGGGGCCATTGTGCTAGGGGCAATATAATCATAAAACTATATCCAACATGATGCCTGTTACACAAAACCCATAGGACAACTCTATGGTCCTGATTCAGCAAAGCATTTAAACACGTCCTTAGCCTTAAATGTGAATAATCCTGTTCCTGTTCAGCAAAGCGCATAGGCACATGCTTTAAGTTAAGTGTTTTGCTGCCTTTGAGCCTATAAAGGCGTGATGCTACTGAGGTTCATCAACTCCCACGGAAATCAAGATCATGCCCCAGTTGAGCAAAAGTTCCAAAGCAATAGCAGAATATGAAAATCGGGACACTTTCATGATAGAAAAGATCTAATTTCCAGGAGGTATCACTGTTTGGTGCTCCAGTAAACTGGAAATTTTGAAAAAACACTGAATTTTGGGAGGAGAAATCCAAATTGATTTGTACTGAAAACATTTTAAGAATATGAGCACATCTCCTCTGCTGGTGTAAACTTTTATAGCTCAATGGAGCTATGCTGATCTACACCAAATGAGGATCTGGCCCATAAAACTTAAATTCAAGACCTCGCTTGAAATATTTCAAAACACACTATGTAAGAACTGTTTATTCAATTTAAAATCACTTGACAATATAGGGCCAAATTCTGCTCTTGGTTACACTTGTATAATTTGCAGTAACTGCTTTAGCTTCAATGGCATTACTCCAAATTTACACTGGTATAGCTGAGAACAAAATTTGGTCCATATAATTTTATACCTAGGACTTTCTGGCTCATTGGGCTAAATTCAGTCATGATATAAGCAGATGCATCTCTGTTGACTTCAATAGCATTTCATCCACTGAATTTGTCCCTTTGTGCCTTTACCAATACACTAAGGGCCAAAAAATGCCTTTATTTACATTCTTTCAAGCTTTGGATGTCAGTGGGTAACATCAGTTTTCAGTGGTATTGGTACTGCAGCTGAAGTCAGAATCTGTCCCTAAATATTGAACTAGTTCATCCTTTTATTGTTATTTAAGTGGGTTAAAGTTGGAGTACTGCTGATTCCTTATTTTTTTCTCTTTAGAGTTAAAAATAAGAAGCACAGATGGTTGAGTTTCACCAGAGCCCTGATGCCAACGCAGTGAATGTTCATTTCTCAAGAGCAGATACCACAATTCTTGAGAAGGATAGTTTGCAGATTTTACAGGAAACACAAGTGACGAAAGACCTAGAGAAGGACGCTCTACCTGTACACGTCACAGATCGGATATTTTTTATTGATTTAGCCAATAAGCAACAGACAACTATCCCTTTACAAATCTTTGAACTGGAAGATCTGGAAGAATTGCATTTGGAAAAAAACTTAATTGAAAGCATCCCAGGAGACATCCATCATCTTAAGAAGGTGAAAGTTCTCTATCTGAATGAGAACTATATACACGACATCTGTGAAGAACTTGGGCAGCTGAAATATCTTCAGAGCTTAGATTTAAGTAGCAATCCACTCTCTTACAGTTCACTGCATATCATCAGCAAACTGCAGGCACTCTGTCAGCTCAGGCTCTATGATGTAAACTTGGATGAGTTCCCAGTGGAGATCTGTAAATGCCTCCATCACATTGAGCTGCTTGGACTATCTGGCAATAATCTAAGGTATCTGCCTAAAGAAATAGTGAATCTGAGAAAACTTAAAGAGATCTACCTGCAAAAAAACAGATTTGAAAGCTTTCCCCTGGAGCTTTGTCATCTTCTTAATCTGGAAATAATAGATCTGGAACAAAATCTAGTGAGTTTTGTCCCTGAAGAGATTGTCTCTTTGACAAATTTAGTGAAACTATTTTTAGCTTTCAATAACCTGTTATCAGTCCCTGATAAATTGCATCACTGCCGGAGACTGACTGTGCTTGATTTGTCTAATAACCTCCTACGTAGGCTCCCTCCTAACTTCAAGCAGCTCACAGAAATGAACGAGCTTGGTCTGTCTGGTAACAACTTGGAAAAGTTTCCACGTCAGATTTGCCATTGGATGTCCCTTTGCCTCGTTTATTTGAAAAACACTGGCTTGCAAGTGCTACCTTCTTCCTTTACCAGATTAACCTGTATCAAGATATTAGATCTTAGTGAAAATTTCTTTGATGAATTCCCTAAAGAGATCTGTGCTATGGAAAATCTGGAAATATTGTCACTGGATGACAATCAAATATGTGAGGTATTGATTTCTTTATTTTTGGTGTGGGATTCTATATACACTTCAAATTCACTAGGCTAATATGCATCTCAAATGTAATAGTATGAGCCACTTAACTCTACAACATAGGGAGATAATAATATGTACGGTCTTTTGGGACAGGATACATCTTTTTGTTCTGTGTTTGTACAGCACTTGGCCCAATGGGGTCTTGGCCCATCACGGTTGTTCCTAGATGCTAAAATAATAAATAGTATTAATAATATTACAAGCCTGACTCCAAGGATGTGAGACTCAAGAATATATAACCCTCTAAAGCGTGCAAACCCCAGCAATCCTTATGCCACATAGCACAGCCACATAGAGATGCCACTAGTTGGGACAGCAGGAAACAAAGGATTCTGTTCCTGGCTCTGCCATTGTCCAGCTGTGTGATCCTGGGCAGGTCACTTCACCTCTCTTTGCCTCAGTCTCTCAATCTCTAAAACAGAGCTGATGATACTTAGTCTCCTTTGCAAAGGGCTTTGAGATCTTTGGCTGGAAAACGCCACTGTAACTGTTGAATATTATTTTACAGGGAAGAGGTCTACCCAGTGCAGAAGCCAAAATGTTTCCAACCATCCATATAGTGTGACTTCCTATTGTCATTTCTCTTCTCTCTTCCCAACTTAGGGACATGCCTTTTGTTGGGGTGGTCTCATCCACGTTAGTCACTGGATGGGGGTAGCTGTAGAAGCAATTTAACTTACCTTCCCTCTCTCATTTCTCCTTCATTACAATTCAAAGCTGGTTTACCATGATTCAGTCTACCCTGCACTAGGCAATGGAGTTAGGTATCAGTAACCTGCCAGTTCCCACTGTCCCTGCTAGCCCCATTCAATGAGTGTCAATACCAAAGCTGTTCTGCAACTTAATTTTTAATCTATTCAGATATCTACAGCTCTCTCTTCTTTAACGCGTTTACAGGATGGCATTGAGCTATCTAAGCTATTCTAATTATTCATTGTTTTCCTTTAACATTAATGGGAGTCTTGAAACTATATCCCATGGCATCAAGAATCCTTTCACCTCTAAGTACTTGATGACCCCAATTCGGTAATAAGGTCCTTGCAGGTACTGGGGTGCAAAGCATGAACTTCACTAAGGATGGGAGCCTAGATTTCCCAAGAATTATATGATATGGAAGAATTGTGCTTCAGTGCTTTACTTGGAGGATATTTTCTTTGATGCTTGTGCAGTATTCATTATAAGGCGGGGTGGCCAAACTTACTGACCCTCCAAGCTGCAGACAATAATCTTCAGAAGTTTGAGAACCAGGGCCATCCCTAGCTATTCTGGGGCCCTACGCAGCCCCCAGGCCTCTGTGTGTGTCTGGGGATGGACGGACTAGCCCCAGGCCTCCACCGGGGTTGGGAGGGAGAGGGCAGGAAGGGACTGGCTTGCGGGGAACCATTCCCAGCACTCACCAGCGGCGCGGCTGGGGCCAGGTCGCTGCACTTCCTACCACCGGTGAGTGCAGGCCCATCCCTGCTGCAGTCCTCAGGGGAGTAGGGTTGGGGCTGGGACAGAGCAGGGGTGGGAAGAGCGGGGGCTGGGTGCCCCAAATTTCCTGGTGCCCTACGCAGCTGCGTACTTTATATATGGGTAGGGACAGCCCTGTTGAGAACCCAGCGGGCCTGCCAGGGATTGGGGCTTATGTCCTGTGGCAGGATGGTGGGGGTCTGAGGGCTTCTGCCCTGCAGGAGATGCCTGTCCAGGCTTAGGGCTTCTGGCCCAGGGAGGTGCCTACCAAGGCTCAGGGCTTCTTCCCTGCTCCTGTTGAAGCCCTGGCAGGTGCCTCCCACAGGGCTAAAGTCCCAAGACCCCTCTCCCCACTGGGTAGAAGCCCCTAAACCCAGACGTGGGCAAACTACAGCCCGTGGGCCGGACCGTCCTGCCCGGCCGGGGAGCACAGCTGGCTCTGGCCAGGTATCGCGGCTGCGAGTTCCTGCTGCTGGTAAGAGGGCGGGGAGCTGGGGGGGTTGGGTAAGGGAGTGGGAGGTTCCGGGGGCAGTCAGGGAAGAGGGGGCGGTTGGAGGGGGCAGAGGTTCTGGGGGGGTGGTCAGGGGATGGGGAACAGGGAGGGTTGGGAGTGGGAGTCCCGGGGGGCGGGGATGTGGATAGGGGTTGGGAGGGCAGGTCAGGGGGACAGGGGAGCGGGGGGGGGTTGCGAGTAAGGGGGGTGGGAGTCCGTGGGGGGCGAGGTTAGG